ACACAAGGAGATGGAATGGAGCAGCATCAGGGAAGTTCAGGATGGACATTTTAGGAGAAGGTTCTTCACCCAGAGGGTCATCGGTCCCTGGAACAGGCTCCCAGAGAAGCGGTCACGGCACTGACCCTGTCAGAGTTCAAGGAGTGTCTGGACGAGGTTCTTAGTCCTGTGGTTTGGTTTCAGATGGTCCTGCGAGTAGCACGGAGAGCTGGACTTGATAAGCCTGATGGCTCCCTTCCAGCTCGAGGTGCTCTGTGATTCTACGAACATACACATCTCACTTGAACCCAACAAAATTTCTCTCTTTGCTACTTTCTCCAAGAATTAGTATGAGTTCGTCATCACCCCACTTAGGTGCCACAGTTCAAGAAAATCTGCATGACCCGCACAAGTTACAAGTTCTTGAAGCAGCTAATAACGAGAAAAGTGTATCAATCGTTTTGCGAAGTTGCTTTCTTTAGAAAATTCCCTATTTTTAATTAAAGCTAAAAACATTTTCCTAGTTTGGATAATGCTAAATACATAGAGCAACAAGACCCTGTGTTTAAGTATTGTTTCTTTAACTTCCAGAAATAAAACATGTCACAGAACTTCTAAAGCATGGTAATTATGTATATCCAAGACATTAGCTGTTCTAACACGTTCAGAGTTTTCAGGTGTTCAGAGATGTCAGGCTAGCCCAGTTTCCCAGTTACATATATCAAGACAGTAAGTGTTGATGGGATACCACAGGACAAAAATAATTCCAAAGTGTATACAACTAGTCTGTTCTCTGGCAGCACAAGTATTTACACACACAGATCTCAGACGGACAGAAGGAGTATGTGGTATGGAAGGAAAGCAGCAGCAGCAGCAGTACCTACTGTAGCCATCTACAGCATCTACTTTACATTCACACTGTCTATACATACCCACACATACACACAAATATATGTATATATAAACTCAAAATAACATAACAGTTGTGGCAGTGCCATATTCTTGGCTCTGACGGACAAAATCAGCTTTCCCTCTTCCATCAACCGCAACTGTTCAGACACAACACTTTTCCTGTTGTGCTTCCACCAATTTAGGAACAGAGCCTGGATAAACAGCCAACACTTTATGCCTTCCCAGCTCAGTAACAGTAGCTTTAAGAACAGGTAGCACTAGGCACTGAAAGAGCACAAATCTCACAAGAATCCCTTCACCTGAGGTCATTTTACCATACCGTAACTATTCCCTAAAGCAACTCTATGGAGTGCAATGATTTTTTTGCTTCACCATAATGTGTTGAGTCACCCAGAGCGTTTCTTCTTAAACATGAAAAATTTCTAAAAAATGCTGAATGCAAGTTCATCTCTGTGAAAATTTGAATTTTAAGATTTTCCCAGCCCTGAAAATAAGGGTGAGAGATGGCAAACCTCAAACCAGGCCGTTCTCTTTCAAGTATCTGGCAGGGATTACACCTGAACAGGTTCTAAGCAAAACCAAGATGTGAATCGAATTGCAGCCGCTCTTCTCTCAAACAATCAGACACGCGTCCTTCACCAGCCTGGGGACCAAAGCGCTTCGCAGGGCGTGGGGAGAAGATTCGCACGGTAGCCCCACACGCTACAAAACGCAGCTTGGGGGCTCAGCGCCGGAGGGAACGCCGCCGGCGACGCGACGGGCACGGGGCCGCACAGCC